GATCGTTTTGAATCCTGCTCCTGTCCTCTGGAGTATTGGCTATCCCTCCCAATTTGGTGTCGTCCTCAAACTTGATGATCCTGCCTTCTAGCCCTTCATCTAAGTCATTAATAAAGATGTTGAACAGGACCGGGCCCAGGACGGACCCCTGCGGCACTCCACTCGTCACTTCTTTCCAAGATGAAGAGGAAGCATTGGTGAGCATCCTCTGGGTTCGTCCATTTAACGAATTACAATGTTTCTCCCATCTAGGAAGGAACCATCACGGAACTTGGATGCCGAGCGCTTCCTTCTCCAATCTTATCTGATCAAAGAAAGGGATCTATATGCCTGAAATGTTTATTGAACTCGCCAATGTGATTCAGAACAGGAATTACAGACGAACCTCCCTTCTCAGACATTGCTAGTAACTGGGGACTCTGTGTCCCAGCCAAGCAGCGACCTTAGGAACAAATAATCCATGCACATACTTTCCTCTTAAAATAGAACAGATGTGGATCAATGAAGTCACTCAGAGATGGAAAGATTACACGTTTATAGAACACTAGAATCTTTTTATTTAAAAATAGTAGTTTACAAAAACAGATACACACCTTTATATATATATATAAAACTTTTTAATATAAAATTAGATTTGCTTTCTTAAAAAATCAGCAGCATGTTTCATTTTTTAAACAGATAGATCTCAGCGCGCAGCTTTAAGGTTGGCACCGACCTACAAGAGGAAATATTTAGACTTTCCTGAGATTTCAGTACTGTATCCACTAGGCATGTGCAATCCATGGTTCTAAAGTACTTACAAAACTAAAGTTCTGGTTGTGAAAACTAAGGGGCGCTGGTGCTTTGTTTCTACAGTGTTGCTAAAGTTCTGGTGGTGAAAATTTCAGAACTCTAACACAACTTTCAAAATTTCATAATAAATGGCAGTTCCTAATAGGTTCTGTCATAAAAATCACCCCAGGTCTCAGCGGTGGCCGGGAGAGCTTTTGCACAATTAAAACTTGTGCGCAAGTTGCGCCCGTACCTTGGGAAGTCGGATCTGGCTACAGTGGTCCATGCTCTTGTTACATCCCGAATAGATTACTGCAATGCACTCCACGTGGGGTTGCCTTTGAAGACTGTTCGGAAACTTCAATTAGTCCAGCGGGCGGCAGCCAGAGTACTCACTGGAGCGTCATACAGGGAACATACTACCCCTCTGTTATGTCAGCTCCACTGACTGCCGATCCAGTTCCGAGCACAATTCAGTGCTGGTTTTGACCTACAAAACCCTATACAGCTCCGGCCCAGCGTTTCTGTCCGAACTAATCTCCCTCTACGTCCCACTTCGGAGTCTGAGATCTTCTGGGGAGGCCCTGCTCTCGACCCCACCTCTATCACAAATGAGATTGGTGGTGACAAGAAGCAGGGCCTTCTCGGCAGTGGCCTCTCACTTGTGGAATTCACTCCCCAGGGAAATTAGGTCATTGACATCCCTCCTCTCCTTCAGAAGAAAATTAAAAACATAGTTGTGGGACCAGGCTTTCGGGCAATCTGGCAGTTAGACCAGGACAATGATGACTAGACAATATGGAATGAATTTATGGACTCTGAGATGGTGAACGCTGAATACTGACTGGTTTTATTGCTTTTTATTGATTTTGTTGTATAAAGTGACGGTTTAATTGTTATAATTGCTGCATACATGTTTTATCCATTGTTTATGTTGATGTTGGCATCGAATTGTGCCTTTTGTAAGCCGCCCTGAGTCCCCCCTCGGGGGTTGAGAAGGGCGGGGTAGAAATGCGTGAAATAAATAAATAAATAATGAAATTTTGAAAGTTTTGTTAAGAGTTCTGAAATTTTCACCACCAGAACTTTAGCAACACTGTAGAAACAAAGCACCAGCGCCCCCTAGTTTTCACAACCAGAACTTTAGTTTTGTAAGTACTTTAGAACCATTTAGAACCATGCCTAGTATCCTCCATAGCTTTGCAAATTCCTCAAACTCTGCATGAGTAGGCTTTTTACCTTTAGGGAAGCATATAAGCTTTGGTACAAATAAGAATTGTGTTGGACTGAAGCTCCTATCATCCGCCACCACAGTCTGAAGGGAAGGGAAATGCAGTCCAATAACACCTGATGGGCTACAGCAGTGGTTCTCAACTGGTGAGCTTGTTTGGAGGACCACTAAAAGTTGGGTTGTTGTAGGTTTTTTCGAGCTATATGGCCATGGTCTAGAGGCATTTTCTCCTTATGTTTCGCCTGCATCTATGGCAAGCATCCTCACTACCTCTGAGGATGCTTGCCATAGATGCAGGCAAAACGTCAGGAGAGAATGCCTCTAGAACATGGCCATATAGCCTGAAAAAACCTACAACCCAGTGATTCCGGCCATGAAAGCCTTCGACAATCCACTAAAAGTTGGTAAACGGGATGGAATTTCTGGGAGTTGTAGACCAAAACACCTGAGGACCCACAGGTTGAGAACCACTGGGCGACAGGTTGGCGAGAGACCAATTTCACTTGGTTCAAATTGATCCAATGTACACATTTTCCTCAAACAATTATCTTTGAAGAATCTTGGGAGGAAATCTGCCTATCCAGACAGAGAACATTAAGTGCTTCGCTCTTTGCAAAATCTGGCTTTGAAGCCCTGTGTCGTCAACCAAGAAGTGAGGAACGAGATCTGCCACTTCATTGCATTAAATGGCTGGTGAGGATGTATTCTCCAGAGTGGGAATAAGCACATCTACAGTAGAGTCTTGCTTATCCGACATGAACGGGCCGCCAGAACGTTGGATATGCGAAAATGTCATATAATACGGAAGGAAAAGCCTATTACACTGTTCAGTCACTTATCACCTGGTTCCAGGACCAGGTGATAGTATGATAGATGGGTCCAGAAGCTGCAAAGGCGGCTGTGAATAAGGGAAGTGAGAGCGGGGAGAGCGAAGGAAGGATAGAAAGGAGGGGATGCTTAGGGTAAGGGTTAGGGCAAGGTTTAGGGTTTGGGTTTGGATTAGCGTTATGGTAAGGGTTAGGGTTTATGGTTAGGGTATGGTTTAGGGTTAGGGAAAGGTTTAGGGTTTGGGTTAGTGTAAGAGTTAGGGTTAGGCTTACGGTACGGTTCAGGGTTAGGGTAAGGGTTAGGGTAAGAGTTAGGGTTTCACCATTAAAGAACTCTTACACTCCTTCTATCTGTCACCGGCCTGGCTTATATTAGCTAAGTCTCTCGTGTGCAAACAGTGCTCCCGAAGGAGCGATGCAGCATCTCCATAATGCTCTGAGCTTCTGGAACCAGCTATCATACTATTACCAAGCAATCTCTCCTGATGTTTCACCCACATCTATGGCAGGAGGCATCCTCAGAGGTTGTGAGGTCTGTTGAAAACGAGGCAAGTGAGGTTTATATATCTGTGGAATGATGTCCAGTGTCAGAGAAATAACTCCGGAAGCTCTGAGTGTTATGGAGATGCTGCAAAGGCGGCTGTGAATAAGGGAAGAGAGGGGGCGGAGTGGGAGCGGGGAGAGCGAAGGAAGGATAGAAAAGAGGGGATGCTTAGGGTAAGGGTTAGGGCAAGGTTTAGGGTTTGGGTTAGGGTAAGGGTTAGGGTTTACAGTTAGGGTACAGTTTAGGGTTAGTGTAAGGTTTAGGGTTCAGGTTAGTATAAGGGTTAGGATAAGATTTAGGGTTAGGGTACAATTTAGGATTACCATAAGGTTTAGGGTTCAGGTTAGCGTAAGGGTTAGGGTAAGATTTAGGGTTTGGGTTAGGGTTTGATTAAGGGGATAGGCTTAGGCTTACGGTTCGGTTCGGGGTTAGGGTTTCACCATTAAAGAACTCTTACATCCCTTCTATATTATCTGTCTCCAGCCTGGCTTACATTAGCTAAGTTTCTCTTTGCAAACAGCGTTCCCGAAGGAGCGATGCAGCATCTCCATAACACTTGCAGCTTCTGGACCCAGATATCATACTATTACCCAGGACCACCGGCAATAAGTGAAAAACCACAAAATAGGGATGCCCCCTCCCCTTCCCTCCTCACCCTCTTTACCTTCATCTTCCTCCTCCTCGTTGCAGCCTGGGGCTCTTGGCTCCTCTTGGCGGAGGAGTCGTGGGGCCCAAGCAGTGGCAAGAGGAGGAAGAGGGAGGAAAAGAGGGGGAGGCGGGAGGAAGAGCTGCCCCGTCACACTCTTTACCTTCCTCCTCCTGTCACCGTTGGAGCATACAGTGTTCCCTCACTACATATATATATATATATATACACACACACACACACACACACACACATATACATATATATACACACACACACACACATATATATACATCCGCGAAACAGTGAATCTGCAGTAAGTGAACCGCTGAGGGAACACTATAAACCCAAGCAAAGGCAGGAGTGGGGCAAGGTGAGGATGGGCACTAGGGTCAAGAGTATCAGATGGGGCTCCCCCTTTACCCACATGGAGGACACTTCCTCGAAGCCTTGCCTGGACTGAATGCAAGGCTCCAAGGAGGAGAGAGACAGCAAGGAGGGAAGCGGCGTCCGGAGCAAGAGTCAGAAAAGGAAGAGAGGAAGGAAGGAAGGGAAGCCTTGTTGCAATCTTCTGAGGAAGAGGAAGAGACTTGTTTTTATTCTTCCAAGCCAGAAGCAGCCAAGGCGCACCAGATAATAATGGAATGTCGGATAACCAAAGGTTGGATAAGCGAGACTCTACTGTATTGATATGGGGGAGAATGCCATCACGGATACAAACATTTTCAAATTTGCAAATGTCTTCCTATCTAGGACTAAAACAACTCCTAGATATGGCCTTCCATCACTATTCATGCTGCTTGAGACATGACTTTCTCTGAGTGGGAAAATCCGCATAATAGGGGACCATCAATCAAGTGAGGCGAGTCCTTTCCAGATTTCAATTAAGATATCCCCAGCAATGTTGTCCATAGTTAAGGGGCATTTTGGAGCCATCCATTTGTGTGCTATGGCCCGTGTACTGCCGTCTCCATGGACATGGAAATGGTCAAACTCGCCAACTCCTCACTTTCAGCTTCTTGAGGTCTGAAACTCAGCTTTTCAGAGCAAGCCTAGAGAGGGCAAGAAGGGGAGAGACTTCACGTCGGAAAAGACTCCTCTACCTATCCAGTGCCCCTCTTCCTCTCGACAATCTCAGTACCTTCCTCTGGAGAAGAGGGGACCATCACTGAGGGTTATGGAGGGTTCTTGTTGACCTTCTTCAGCACAGAGCTGGCAATGGCCAAAGCCCCACCTTGGACGAAGCGCACAAAGTTGTCCCCTGCTAATGGCCCCATGGCATAGAGTCCCTTCTCATGAATGGATTCATAAGTGAAGGGTTCAACGTCAATGGGGTTCCTCTTGGAACTGACCGGCTGCTCGCAATCGACTGCCAAGTCCACCCCATTGTTGGGAAGGTAGGAGAGGTTGGGGTTGGAGCCAATCAGGACAAAAGCCATAGAGATGTTGTGTATCTTTTGCCGGTGGTTTTTGTCACGGAAGATGCACTTCCGGTCCTCCGTGAAGGAGACAATGTGATGCTCGGGGAGACTGACGTAACAGTCATACGGTCCCGGATGAGGGACAGCCTGCTCTTCCATCATCTGGTGGACTTTGTGATACTCAGGGTACATTGTTTTGGGGAGCTGGTTGAAAATGAGAGCAGGGTCATTCACTTTCCTGCGAAAGGCATGGATCACCGGGATGTTGCAATGGTGGGCAAAGAGGATCGCATCTGCTGCCGTGAGCCCGGCTCCCACAATCAAGATCGGATCAGACATCGGGCCGATTTCCTTCTTCTTCACAGCTTCCTCGAGAGCAGAGAGCGAATGGTGGACAAAAGGAAGGCACTCCCCTTTGACCCCGAGCCGGGATGGACTGTCATAGGTCCCAGTGGCTAAGACCACGTTTTCAGCATATACAGAAAAGGGCTGCGAGCCACTTAAGGTCGTGACAAATCCCTCCACTTGGAAGAGACTCCCTTGGTCAGTTTTGCAGTCATCTTGCTGTTGCTCCGAGAAATGCCACACAGAGCTGTTGTCCCTTGAATTCTGGCTGCTGAAGCTGGAATCTGTGCTGAGTCTCTTCACAGATGTCACAAAAGTGCCGCAGAGGAAGTTCTTCTTGAGCCCGTTCTTTGCCACGTAGTACTGGTAATACTGAACAATGTCGCCCGCAGTTGCCCTGTTGTTTCTGAAGCCCCTGAAAAAGAAACATCACCATCAATACAGAAGGATAAACAATGGATTCATTCAGACCACCTACTTTTCCCCAACCGCATCACTTTCCAAGCATACATTGAGGAACAATTCAAAGTGTTGGGAATCAGCCTATGTTTGTGTTTCAGGATCCTGATGTGGGAAATGATGAGAGAAATTATGGTGCCGAGGCTGAGGTGCAAGATGGAGATGGTTTGGTCAACGATTTTCATGCAGACAATAACAGAGAGGCCCCAGTGCAAAGGGCAGTTTCTCATGATAATATTCCTGCTGGGCCTAGTAATTATGGTTCACTCTCTCTCTCTGTAAGCTCTCAAGATTTGGGTTTGGAAAACAATCTGACACCTGGGAATTTTAGTGAGCAGCCAGATAGGCAGCTGAAGAATAGGCGGCTGGAGATTAGCCAGGATCGACAGCAAACTCAGTGTTTACATCACTCTGAAAGGCTTCGTCTGATAAGGGGTAAATGTGGGGGAAAGTGAAACCAATTTCTGAGTTTTGAGATGTAAGGTTTGCCTCAAGGGGAATCCTGTTAGATCAGGCATCATTTGGAAATCAAGTTCATGTACCATGAACATCCTGACTTGTTCCTATGGAGTTTTTTAGCTTTTTGGATTGTCTTTGAATCTTGTTGATTCCACCTGAACATTAGGAAGAACTTCCTGACTGTGAGAGCTGTTCAGCAGTGGAACTCTCTGCCCCGGAGTGTGGTGGAGGCTTTTTCTTTGGAGGCTTTTAAGCAGAGTGCCATGAATCATGTTCTGCAGTTGTCGGTGGATGGTGGTGGCAGGCCTAGCAGTTGGTGATGGAAGGGTTAATGTAACTCTTAGTTCTAAAGGGTTGAGTAATCTGTAAGTAAGAATTCATGGGTGAAAGCAATAAAGGGTGGAGGTATGCAAGAGATGGGTTGCAGTTGGGTGTTTCTGGATATAAGAAGCTAGGTTTGGGACTGATCTTCGGGAGAAAAGTATTTTATTTTGGTGGTAGATGCTAGGCTTGGGTAACCACGGAAAAATTTGGTTCTAAACTCGTTTCGTTTTTAGGGGGCCCTTGCGTTTCGTTTTTTTAATAATTCCGAAATTTTCCTTTAAAAAAATTCGAAATTTACGAAATTTTGTAAAATTACGAATTGATTCGTTAATGGCGGACGGGATTGCGCAATATGCTAAAAAAACCTCCAAATGGGACAGGGGGAACTTCTGAAGCTTCCCTCTCCCTCTGTTGTTGACTGTTGGTGTGATAAAACAAACAACAACTATAAAACTTGCACCAGACATGCGAAAATAATTACGAAATAATTTTGAAATAATTACGAAATAAATTGAAAAAATTGTTTCGAATCTTTATTACTCCTCACACAATTCCTGCATGGCTCAGTATTGGATCATAAGCTAATTTAAATACGAATTAATAACGAATTACGAAATTAACGAACGAAACCGCCCAAGCCTAGTAGATGCTGCTGGTTTTCCCCCAGGTTTGTGGATTTTCAGTATCCTGACCAGTCTCCTGTACTCTTGGAATCCTGAATCCCTGGACTGGCTTTTGACTACGGTATAGACTCTTGATCCCTGGACTTCGCTCATTGAACTCTTGGTGCTTGACCACTGAACTGGACCTTTTGACTATGGTGTTATCTTGAACCTGCAACAGTGTTTGCTGTCAATTTTTGTTTTATATTCTGTGGCTGAGTGCTATCCTTATGTTTTATGTTTTGGACTATTAAAATAGCCAGACAGTAAGTGCTGCTTTAATTAAATTGTTTGGTTCATCTCTGCTGGAATAACGGCAGAGCCCTGGCATCATGACACAGAGGTTGGATGCCATCTGTCGGGGGTGCTTTGAATGTGATTTTCCTGCTTCTTTGCGGAATGGGGTTGGACTGGATGACCCACCAGGTCTCTTCCAACTCTATGATTCTATGATCTCAACAACACTGATTGATGCCATCATGGAAAGCCATTCCTACACAGTGATATTGTGTTCAACACGAATAATAATTGCTTTCACATCTTCCTTTTCTTTCATGTTCTGTGCAGGCTTGCAGACCTAACTGCCGGCTTGCCTGACTGGTTTGCTCCATCTCTACCTCCAATCGAGAAGGAAGGTGGAACATCCTCTTTGGATGAACTTGCCATCTCCGCAGGGCTTTGGTTGGGTTGCGGAAAGAACTTCCTGCCATAGCCAAACCGCCCACTCAACAGTACCTACAAACTGTGCCTAAATAAGGCAACTTTGTCTGTAGAAAATTCCTTTTCCCGCCAGCAAACGTTCAAGAGAAGACAATAACACCAGAGCCAAGATGTCTGAACATGTTTGCTCTTTTTTGTATGTGTATGACTCTCCTCAAAAATGGTGTCAAGAGATAGGGAGATGCCTTCACACTTCAGGAAGCCTTGGAGGGCCTCATGACATTGCAAGTTAGAGTGAGCACCGTAAACACGTCCAAGAGCCCGGCCAATGTCCTCCACCAACACCATATTGCTGACCACCCAAGTGGAAGCTTTCATACGGGGACAATTTCATCCTAGATTTTCTGTTTTTCCTCCATCACAGACATCTCAGTGTTTCTTGCTCTCCCCATTGGTGTGGAATTTGCATGATCCCGCCTACTGCCTCCACCTTAACCCTTTCCTATTCTTTTCTATGGCACACAACAAACAGAATTGATCAGCAATTGAACATACTAGAGAAGTCTGGGGAGAATTCACCATGATTTCTAGGAGTTGTAGGCCCTGGGATGTATAGTTCACCTGCAATCTAAGAGCATTCTGAATTCCACCAACAATGGACTTTGAACTAACTTGGCACACAGAATACCCATGACCCACTTTATGTCCTGGTGCAGTTTGGGAGAAGGATGGACAATGGACAATGGGATTTGCAGTACCTTCAAACTATTCAGCTCCCACAGACCACTGCAACCCCCACGAAAGATGGACCCAGACCAAACTTGAAACACAGACCTCCGATAACCCACTTTATGTTCTGGTGCAATTTGGGGAGGCTGGAACATGGATGATGGGATTTGCAATACCTTCACCTGATTTCACATAGCATTGCGAGCCGCACGAATGGCGGATCAGGATCACACTTGGCACACAGACCCTCGATAACCCACTTTATGTTCTGGTGCAATTTGGGGAAGCTGGAACATGGATGATGGGATTTGCAATACCTTCACCTGATTTCATATAGCACTGCGACCCTCACGAATGACGGATCAGGATCACACTTGGCACACAGACCCCCGATAAACCACTTTATGTTCTGGTGCAATTTGGGGAGGCTGGACCACAGATAATGGGATTTGTAGTACCTTCACCTGCTTTCACAAAGCACTGCGACCCTCACGAATGACGGATCAGGGTCACACTTGGCACACAGAGCCCCCAGTATGAACAGAACATAATGGAGGAGCTTGTGGGGAGACTGACCAACCCATATGGGAGTTGTAGTTCACCCTGCCTCCAGAGAGCACCCTGAAGCCCACCAATGACAAATTACCAAACTGATATTACCTAAGATCCAAACAAATAACCCAGGCATTGCCGGGTCCCCAAGCTAGTCTATATAAATAAAAATGTAATGTTCGTTTGTGGTATTCACAGAACTCAAAAACCACTGGGGGAATTGACACCAAATTTGGACAGCATACACCTAACAATCCAATGTATGTCCTCCACTCAAAAAAACCTGAGTTTGTCATTTGGGAGTTGTAGTTGCTGGGATTTATAGTTCACCTACAATCAAAGAGCATTTTGAACTCCACCAATGATGGAATCGAACCAATCTTGGCAGATAGGACTCCCAGAAAACACTAGAAGGGTTTGGTGAGCATTGACCTTGAGTTTGGGAGTTGTAGTTCACCTTCATCCAGAGAGCACTGTGGACTCAAACAATGATGGATCTGGAACAAACTTGGCACAAATATTCCATATGCCCAAATATGAACACAGATGGAGTTTGGGGGAAATAGACCTTGACATTTGGGAGTTATAGTTACTGGGATTTATAGTTCACCTACAATCAAAGAGCATGTTGAACTCCATGAACGACAGAATTGGAGCAAACTTCCCACACAGAACCCCCATGACCAACAGAAAATACTTAAGGCCATCCAACTCCCTTCACCAGGGCAAGAAAACATAATCAAAGCCCTCCTGACAAAGAGCCCTCCAGCCATAGACATAGATAGTATACTATATAGATTCTATATAGTATCATAGATTTGAAAGGGACTCTTGAAGGGACCCTTGAGGGGCTCCACGAGAAACGTTTGCTTCTAAAAGGGCTCTGCAGGTGAAAAAGTTTGAGAACCCCTGATCTCAAATTCTAACGTGAAATATCTCTCTCAAATTGTGGTGCCCAGAATTCAAGAGAGATATTGACAAGCTGGAATGTGTCCAGAGAAGGGCGACTAAAATGATCAAGGGTCTGGAGAACAAGCCCTATGAGGAGCGGCTTAAGGAGCTGGGCATGTTTAGCCTGAAGAAGAGAAGGCTGAAAGGAGATATGATAGCCATGTGAGAGGAAGCCACAGGGAGGAGGGAGCAAGCTTAGGACGCAAGAATAGGACGCAATGGAACAATGGCTTCAAACTACAAGAGAGGAGATTCCATCTGAACATGAGGAAGAACTTCCTGACTGTGAGAGCCGTTCAGCAGTGGAACTCTCTGCCCCGGAGTGTGGTGGGGGCTCCTTCTTTGGAAGCTTTTAAACAGAGGCTGGATGGCCATCTGTCAGGGGTGATTTGAATGCAATATTCCTGCTTCTTGGCAAAATGGGGTTGGACTGGATGGACCATGAGGTCTCTTCCAACTCTTTGATTCTATGATCTGCCACGCTCTAGGTCAATATTTTCATTCTCAAGATATCTCTCACACTTAATTACCAAGCCTATTTGTAAACACAATGTATTTGCCTCGCATTCTTCTAAACAGACATGGGATGAACGTTTTATTGGACTATTTGCAGGGAAGGTTCATCGTACCTTTTCTTCTTACTCAGCCAGTCCTTGAATGGAAGGCCAGGAAGCCCCATCCAGTCTCCTTGACTCAAGGTGAACATGGAGCCCTCAATAGACTGAAAAAGAAAGAAAGGAAAATATACTCTATAAGTCAAGCTCTATCAATAGAGGAGTGATAACTGCATGGTTGTTAAGTCTCTTAAGATCCCTTTAATACAGCTATTCTAGAATCACATGACATGTAACAAGAGGTAATGGGAGCTATGAGTCTTGAGGAGAGGTGGGTAAGAAATAAAATAATATTTATTATTATTATTATTATTATTATTATTATTATTATTATTACTATTATTACTATTATTACTATTATTACTATTATGTAAGATCCATCATAAAATTTAGATCTATAGAATAAACGCGGGGAATCTGGCTTTGCAGAAATTTTGGGTTTCTTTTTTTTTAGCATTGCCCTTAATAAATAATAATAATAATCATCATCATCATCTTCTATATAAATAAAAATGTAATGTTCGTTTGTGATATTCACCGAACTCAAAAACCACTGGACGAATTGACACCAAATATGGACACAAGACACCAAACAACCCAATGTATGTCCTTCACTCAAAAAATTGATTTTATCATTTGGGAGTTGTAGTTGCTGGGATTTATAGTTCACCTACAATCAAAGAGCATTCTGAACCCCACCAGCGATGGAATTGAACCAAACTTGGCAGACAGTTCTCCCATGACCAACAGAAAATACTGGATGGGTTTGGTAGGCAGTGTCCTTTGGTTTTGGAGTTGTAGTTCACCTACATCCAGAGATCACTGTGGACTCAAACAATGATGGATCTGGACCAAGCTCTACAAGAATACTCAATATGCCCAAATGTGAACACTGGTGGGGAAAATAGACCTTGACATTTGGGAGTTGTAGTTGCTGGGATTTATAGTTCACCTACAATCAAAGAACATTCTGAACCCCACCAATGATGGAACTGAACCAAACTTGGCAGACAGTTCTCCCATGACCAACAGAAAATACTGGAAGGGTTTGGTGGGCAGTGACCTTTGGTTTTGGAGTTGTAGTTCACCGACATCCAGAGATCACTGTGGACTCAAACAATGATGGATCAGGACCAAGCTCTACAAGAATACTCAATATGCCCAAATGTGAACACTGCTGGGGAAAATAGACCTTGACATTTGGGAGTTGTAGTTGCTGGGCTTTATAGTTCACCTACAATCACAGTGCATTCTAAACCCCACCAATGATAGAATTGGGCCAAACCTCCCACACAGAACTCCTATTTGGGCCACAGCAATGTGTGGCAGGGGACGGCTAATAATAATAATAATAATAATAATAATCCCCACCCCAAGAAAATAAATTTTGCCCACTTTTTGCTGATGTTCAGGATGGCACTGAATTATACTTACATGCCAGGCTCCTCCAGGCAGGTTTTTGCCAAGCACCAAATGAGAAACGGCTCTCTCCGGTTGGTGCCACCAAGCAAGGACCGAATCCGATGTCCCCCCAAAATCCGTATCCGGACGCAGCAGAGTATCAAAAAGAAGAGCAACTGGGCTGGAAGAACGCCCTTCCAAACCTTCAGATAGATACTCAATGTCCTGGAAGATAAAGATGTCTACCATCAGTCTTCTAATCTGATCCATATGTGGTCCTCAACTTTCAAAAACTTTCGTGCTGAGGGAAGGAAATGGCGAGAATTTCTCACTGCTTCATTTCAAAACAAAATTAAGGAGGAATTACCTCCCTACTGTATTGGGTGGGTCTTCCCATGTAGAATAGACTCTTTTAGAACTATAAAACAGAGTTGCGAGCAAACCCATTTTCCTTAGTTTCATCCATTCTTTAGTTACCTTTGGGAGCACATAACGGGAAGCCTCCCCCCACACATAAGCAATCGTTAGCCGATCCTGGCTCCTCACCTGCTTTTCATGAGGATGTGGCGCTCCATGCTTCCTTGCCATTGAAAGTGTGTGTGTGTGACATGCAAGACCAGAAAGTGTGTGCCTGCCTGCGGCCAAGCACCTCCTCTAGAGTAAGAATGAGAACGTGCCTGTTGCCTCCTTGCCTTGGAAAGAGAGTGCGTGTATGGCACGCAGGCCCAGAAAGTGTGAGCCTAACTGCAACCAAGTGCCTCTCCTCTAGAGTAGAAACCCATTGAAGTCTCCTTAAAGTACATGCCTTACCTGTTTCTCTCTAGAGGAGAAACAGGTAAGAAGCCTCGTTAAAGTGTGTGACTGCCTGCAGCTGAGCACCTCTCCTCTAAAGGAGAAACAGGTAAAAAGCCTCCTTATAGCACGTGCCTGCCTGCAGCTGAGTGCCCTTCCTCTGGAGTAGAAACAGGTAAGAAGCCTCCTTAAAGCATGTTTCTGTCTGAAACTAAGCACCTCTCCTCTAGAGTAGGAACAGGTAAGAAGCCTCCTTAAAGCATGTTTCTGTCTGCAGCTGAGTGCCCTTCCTCTGGAGTACAAACAGGTAAGAAGCCTCCTGAAAGTATGTTTCTGTCTGAAGCTGGACACCTCTCCTCTAGAGTAGGAACAGGTAAGAAGCCTCCTTAAAGCTCGTGCCTGCTTGAAGATGAGTGCCTCTCCTCTAGAGTAGAAACAGATAAGAAGCCTCCTTAAGGCACGTGCTTGCCTGAATCTGAGTGCCTCTCCTCTAGAGTAGAAACAGGTAAGAAGCCTCCTTAAGGCACGTGCTTGCCTGAATCTGAGTGCCTCTCCTCTAGAGTAGAAACAGGTAAGAAGCCTCCTTAAAGCACATGCCTGCTTGAAGATGAGTGCCTCTCCTCTGGAGTACAAACAGGTAAGAAGCCTCCTTAAAATACATGCCTGCCTGAAGATGAGTACTTCTCCTCTAGAGTAGAAACAGGTAAGAAGCCTCCTTAAGGCACATGCCTGCCTGAAGGAACTGTTGCATCCCAGTTCAAGAAATGAGACCATAAGATTAAATCCACCACACTGGACTGTAGGAAAAGCAATCCTTGTTTATTGATGAAAAATTGGTTACAAAAGAAAGGCAAATGCAAAGTCAAAAAGCCACAGAAAAACACAGCAGTCAGTAGAATCTCTGAACTTGAGCAGAATTTCAAAAGCCACAATACAAGAACCAGGAACCTGTTAGCCTTTTACTAACCATGAACTTGATAACTACAAGCCTCTGGGATTACCGGCCATGAAACACAGGAATTCTGCCAAGGCACAGCCACAGTCCCAAACGTTGCTTGATCTAAAGAGGCACCCAGCAGGAGGCCTCTTAAACCAAAGAAGCTATTCTTTGAAACGCCCCTTGACTTTGAAGCCTGGGCCTGTCTCTCCTGTAAACGATGTGACCTTCATAGAAACTGGGAAACATTTCTGTCTCTAACTATCTGTTCTCTTCAGTCCTCATTACAAACCCCAGGTGGAGAGATATCACGGCTAGTTTCCAAAACATTTTCCTCCAGCTGTTGAGTTTCATTTTCATCGCCACTGACCTCTGCATTAACAACAGATTCCACACTGTCAGGGTCAGGGAGAGCTTGCTCAGTTGGAAAAACTATCAGAGAATCCGGTTCACACAGATCAGGATCAGGCTGAACCCCAACAGGCTCCCAAAAATGGATCGGGGGGCCCCACCAAAAACTGGGACACCAAACGGGTCAAGGTTTACTCCAAAAGCACAACCTTCCTATAAAGATGACATTCTAGAAATGTCCAATTGCATAACTAATACTAACCTGGTCTACGATGGAAAGGTTGGACGACTCTTCCAATTTCCTTTGCAGAATCGGATTTGGGTGGACAGCATTTCTTTTGACGTAGGGAATGTTGCCAGACAGCAGGTACGATAAACAGATCCCCGAGGGACCGTTACCTAAATGAAAGAAACCACAGAGATGGATCAGACTGGAAACATCTGCGAAATGAAAGCAGTTTGGGCATCAGTGCCAGTTCTCAGTCTGCTGTTTTGCTCATCGAGCCGGGATGCAGTTGTTCATGCAAGACTCGGAACAGATGTCCCGTTGGAGCTTCTGTTGTTTGCCAAGAGCAAACACATGCTTTAAAAAGGTATTTGAAATGCCTCTATTAACAGTGGGGGAATCTCAGTTCGAACCTCGGCTTCCAGAAATCCCAGCTAGCATGAGAAATGAGAAGAAGGCCCACTTATTACATAAGCTTATTGAACGTCGTTGCAGTTGTTTCTGAAGAGCTTGGAGTAGCATAAAATCGACCTAGAACATGATTCTATGGTCAACCTTCAGAAAGTCCACCAGAAGTTGTTTGTGAAAATCTAAGGCTGCTTTAGCATCAGTCTTGAGCATATTACAAACCTGGAGAATATAAGGAGCTCATATTACATTATTATTATTATTATTATTATTATTATTATTATTATTATTAATCTATATAAATAAAAATGTAATGTTCATTTGTGGGATTAACATAACTCAAAAACCACTGGACGAATTGACACCAAACTTGGACAACATACACCTAACAACCCAATGTATGTCTTTCACTAAAAAATTGATTTTGTCATTTGGGAGTTGTAGTTGCTGGGATTTATAGTTCACCTACAATCAAAGAGCATTCTGAACTCCACCAATGTTGGAATTTAACCAAACTTGGCACACAGTTCTCCCATGACCAACAGAAAATACTGGAAGGGTTTGATGGGCAGTGTCCTTTAGTTTTGGAGTTGTAGTTCAGCTACATCCAGAGAGCACTGTGGATTCAAATAATGATGGCTCTGGACCAAACGTGGCACAAATATTTCATATGCCCAAATATGAACATGGAGTTTGGGGAAAATAGACCTTGACATTTGGGAGTTGTAGTTACTGGGATTTATAGTTCACCTACAATCAACGAGCATTCTGAACCCCACCAACGATGGAATTGAACCAAACTTGGCACACAGTTCTCCCATACTGGAAGGGCTTGGTGGGCAGTGTCCTTTGGTTTTGGTGTTGTAGTTCACCTACATCCAGAGAGCACTGTGGACTCAAACAATGATGGATCTGGACCAAACTCTACACAAATACCCAATATGCTCAAATGTGAACACTGGTGGAGTTTGGGGATAATAGAATCTTGACATTTGGGGGTTGTAGTTGCTGGGTTTTATAGTTCACCTACAATCACAGAGCATTGTGAACCCCGCCAATGATAGAAATGGGCCAAACCTCCCACACAGAACCACCACGTGGGCCACAGCAACGCATGGCAGGGGACGGCTAGTCTATATAAATAAAATGTAATGTTCGCTTGTGGGATTAACACAACTCAAAAACCACTGGAGGAACTGACACCAAATTTGGACAGCATACACCTAACAACCCAATGTATGTTCTTCACTTAATTTTTTTTGATTTTGTCATTTGGGAGTTGTACTTGCTGGGATGTATAGTTCACATACAATCAAAGAGCATTCTGAACTCCACCAACGATGGAATTGAACCAAAGTGGCATACAGGACTCCCATGACCAACAGAAAACACTAGAAGGGTTTGGTGGACATTGAGTTTGGGAGTTGTAGTTCACCTACATCCAGAGATCACTGTGGACTCAAACAATGATGAATCTGGACCAAACTTGGCACAAATATTCCATATGCCCAAATATGAACATGGAGTTTGGGGAAAATAGGCCTTGACATTTTGGAGTTGTAGTTACTGGGATTTATAGTTCACCTAAGAGCATTCTGAATCCCACCAACGACAGAATTGGGCCAAACATCCCACACAGAATCCCCATGACCAACAGAAAATACTTAAGGCCATCCAGTCCAACTCCCCTCATCAGGGCAAGAAAACGTAATCAAAGCGCTCCTGACAAAGAGCCATCCAGTCATAGATATAGACAGATATATATGATTCACACACAGAGAGATATAGTATCATGGATTTGAAAAGTACCCCATAAAGAAGGACAATGATATGTTGCATGCTCCAGGGTAGGAAAACCAGACAATCTCCACATCAACACTGACAAAGAAAGAGCAAGAAATAGTGTTTACCCACAAGCATAAAGAAATTACATATATTAGAAACCAAAACTTTATCATTTTATTTTCCAGATCACCAGACTAAGCCACAGCAACGTGTGGCAGGGGACGGCTAGTATAATATATTATATTATATTTATTATATTTTATTATAATTATGATTTTAACAGTGACCATCCCTTTTGAAGGAGGAAGTGAGATACTTTCAGAGCAGAAGATTTACATTGCGTGCCGACAATAAATAAATAGGGGGAAGTGAACCAGGGCGGCTTTGTGAGAACTACTATAATGTCGTGCACACACCTTGGCTTTTCTTCTTCCAACTCTCCATACAAAAGAAGGTTTAGGAAACCACAGGGTCAGCCTTTGGGTTGGGCAGCTATTTTGGGCATACAGTCCTCCCCTGGCCCAATAAATATTGAACAGCTGAAGGTGCGTCATGTAAAAAAGACCGGTCAAGATGACACAGCAACTGAAACAAGCCTAAGTCTCCAGGCATCGCTTGGCACAAGTCACCCTGATGTCAAGCAATTTCTTCTGGGGCTATTTTTACATTGACCCAATATGAATCCAAAAGAAGGGGCAGCTTAGGGTATATCTCTCCCAAGGGCCTGGGGTAGGTTAAATTAGACACTGGGGGATTTCCAAACCTTCATGCACTCTTTCTGCTCTGGAAACAAGGCAGTTCGTCTCATGCATTTCCATGCAAAATAATCGCAAGTGCTGAACCTGACTCAGCACATAGAAGATGGCTTTGAAAGGCAGCAGATCACAGGAGCTGTCTTCATAGACCTGTCAGCAGCTTATGATACCGTGAACCACCGCCTCCTTCTGAGAAAAATGTATAATATCACAAAGGACTACTACCTCACCCGCCTCATAGGAAACCTGCTACAAAACAGGAGCTTTTTTGTTGAGTTCCAAGGCCAGAGAAGCAGATGGCGGAAACAGAAGAATGGCCTCCCTCAGGGGAGCGTGCTTGCTCCATCCATGTTCAACATCTACACAAATGACCAGCCACTGCCAGAAGGGACAGAGAGCTTCATCTATGCTGATGATCGTGCCATTACCGTTCAAGCAGGGAGCTTTGAGATGGTAGAACAGAAGCTTTCCGAAGCTCTAGGTGCTCTTACTGCCTATTACAGGGAAAACCAGCTGATCCCCAATCCATCTAAAACACAGACATGTGCCTTTCATCTCAAGAACAGAGAAGCATCCCGAGCTCTGAAGATCACCTGGGAAGGAATCCCACTGGAGCATTGCAGCGCACCCAAATACCTGGGAGTCACTCTGAACCGTGCTCTGACCTACAAGAAGCACTGCCTGAACATCAAACAAAAAGTGGGTGCTAGAAACAATATTATACGAAAGCTGACTGGCACAACCTGGGGATCACAACCAGTACAATGAAGACATCTGCCCTTGCGCTGTGCTACTCTGCTGCTGAGTATGCATGCCCAGTGTGGAACACATCTCACCACGCTAAAACAGTGGATGTGGCTCTTAATGAGACATGCCGCATTATCACGGGGTGTCTGCGCCCTACACCACTGGAGAAATTACACTGCTTAGCCGGTATTGCACCACCTGACATCCGCCGGGAACTAGCAGCCAATAGTGAAAGGACCAAGGCAGTGACATCTCCAGCTCATCCCCTGTTTGGGTATCAGCCAGCACGTCAACAACTTAAATCTAAAAATAGTTTTCTAAGATCTACAGAGACACTCGCTGGAACACCTCAGCAAGCGAGAGTCCAAAAGTGGCAGGCCCAAACCCAGCACCTCAACCAATGGCTGATACCAAATGAGAGACTCCCCCCTGGGCACACAGAGGACTGGGCAACTTGGAAGGCGCTGAACAGACTGCAAAGATGCAGAGCCAACCTTAAGAAATGGGGCTACAAAGTGGAATCCACGACATGCGAGTGTGGAGAAGAGCAAACCACTGACCACCTGCTGCAATGCAACCGGAGCCCTGCCACATGCACAATGGAGGACCTTCTTGCAGCAACACCAGAGGCACTCCAAGTGGCCAGATACTGGTCAAAGGACATTTAACCAACTACCAAACTCACAAATTTATTTTGTCTGTTTGTTTGCTTTGTTCTGTTAGAAATGTAATATAATTGACTGGTTAACCTAACACGACAAATAAATAATGCAAAATAATTCCCAGAAACACCCCTCCCAAGATCACAAGCTATAGTCATAGTTAGGACTGATGGGACACGTAGTCCAACACTAGAATGACACACTTTCTCCACCTATTTTGTAAATAACATAGATAGATTACCCTTCTCCGCATACTTCGATTTTTAAATGGGGAGAGCTAGCTAATATGGAACCCACCACTCCTTAGGATAACTCCTGGTTGACATGGTCCCCATCTACACTACCATAAAATCCAGTTCAAAACTCATATAATGCATTGTGGAAGGCTTCCATAGCCGGAATCACTGGGTTGCTGAGAGTTTTTTGGGACTGTGTAGCCATGTTCCAGCAGCATTCTCTCCTGATGTTTCACCTGCATCTGTGGAGAATGGCATCTTCAGAGGTTCTGTTGGAAATGAGGTAAGTGGAATGTATGTGTGTGTGTGTTATCTATCATCTGTCTGTCTAGCTTCCTACCTATCTTCCTACCTATCTATCTACCTTCCTACCTACCTACCTACCTATCTACCTTCCTACCTACCTATCTACCTTCCTACCCATCTTCCTTCCTACCTTCCTACCTTCCTACCTATCTTCCTATCTTCCTTCCTTCCTACCTACCTTCCTACCTACCTACCTACCTACCTACCATCATACCTACCTTCCTACCTACCTACCTTCCTACCTACCTTCCTACCTACCTATCTACCTTCCTAC